TGTGAGCTCCTTGAAGACAAAAACACTGCTTTTGTCTTTATATCTCCAGCACTCAGCTCAGTGTCTGGCACATAGCTTGTGGAATTGTGTCTTGTGACCCCATTTAGGGTTTTCTTGGCAAAGATACTGGAGAGGTTTGGAGTACCACCAAAGATTATAGTAAAGTATACTATATAGTATAATGAAGCACAGGATACAGTAAAATATATATACATATATGTGTGTGTGTGTGTGTGTGTATTTTATATATATACACACATATTAAAGGAGGAGACTGGAAAGATAGGAAGGGGCCAGGTTACAAAGGGACTTTAAATTTCTCCAACTCATTTTACAGATGAGGAAACTGAGGCAAAGAGGGTTAAGTGACTTGCCCAGGGTCACACAGCTAGTGTCTGAGGCCACATCTGTACGCAGGTCTTTCTGACTCTAGCCACCTAGCCAGTGGTGCTTATGAAATGCTTATTCATCCACTGATTATTGATTGGTTGCACAAGGAGGAAATGAGATAGGATATGAACTTCTTCAGAAAGGTCAAAATAGTTGAAATATTAAAGAGGGGGAAGAGAGAGCAAGGTCAAAGATGCAATGGATTTAAAGTGGGAGGGGCAGATTCCCTCAGTATAAAAAGTTCAAGAGACATAATTTCTGGGTAATTAATTGTTTTATTAATCATGCTAGGATATAATTAATTAAAGGGGGTCAGTGACACTCTCCAATGCCAAAGACCGCTCGTGGAACCCACTCAATGCTTATATGCCCTTGGAAGAATGAATGTTTCTGTGGGTAGCAACAAGTAATGAGAGAGAATGAATATTACAATAAGAGGTGGACCTATTTTAATCCACGGCTGGGGAAGTGGCTTTGATCCTGCCATTTTCTTCCAAATCATTTCCAGCCTTGGGCAAACTAATAAAAGAATTTATCCTCATCCAAACAGAGTAGAACACAAGAGGCTTCCCTTACCTGGGTAGGGTCTGAACAAGATTGATGAGAAAGTTATTTCAGTCTCATTTTCAGCAATGTCTTTCAGCTGCTGGCTAGGCCTAGTGGAGAAGGTTTCAGAAAGGGATAAATCTGGGGCAGGTAGGTGGCGCAGTGGGGTGAACACCTGGCCTGGAGTCAGGAGGACCCAAGTTCAAATTTGACCTCAGACCAGATACTCAACCCTTACTAGCTGTGTGACCCTGGGCAAGTCACAACCCCAATTGCTTTACCAGAAAAAAAAAAAGGATATTTAATAATCATTTTTCTCAGGCAGTTGATAGAATTAGGCAGTTTTCTATCACTTAGCTTTTCTAACTTACCTTTTCTGCAAGATGAATGACCTTCCAATTATTAGAATGGTGGTATCTTGGTATTATGAAGATTTATGTTCAAATCCCACCTAATAGGATACTTCCTAGCTGTGTGACCACGAACAAGCCACAGTCTTTCTTAACTCAGTTTCCTCATTGGTAAACTGGAAATGAGAAAATAGTTTGGTATAGTGGATACAGAACTGGCCTCTACAAGCTAGATCCATTTCTTACACTTAATTCTTACACATACTGGTTGGGTGACCCTGGGAAACAAATTAACATCTTGCATACCTCAAGGCAACTAATTCTCTAAGACTATAAATTACAGGATGACTGTTGATCTGCCTTGGTGGTAGAGTTTCTCACACAGAATTCCTAATACAAAGGAAATCATAAGTCTAGACGGCTTCCCATCCCCCAAGTACTTGGGAGTACCTGCCTCATAGAGCTGTAATGAGGTTCAAAAGCAATAGTAAATGTAATAAGTATATTGTCTAAATATAATAACTTAAGCAGTATCATATATAGAGATGGCAGGAGCACAGAACTTGGAAAACCTGGGTTTAAGTTGACATTAATTATGTAACTATGGACTGGTCACTTAACCTATCTATGCCTCAGTTTCCTCACTTGTAAGACAAGGATAAGAATAATTGTAATACCTATATCATAAGTAAAAGAGTTGCAAGCATCAAAGAAATATACAAATGTCAGTTATTACTATAATTATCATGATGCCCCCAGTGCTTGGCACACTGCTTTGCACATAGTAAGGGCTAAAAATAAATGTTTCATTCATTCATTCATTCATTCATTCATTCATTCATTCTGGTGTCTGTGCAGGATTGCTCCCCTTATCTCTGTTATTTGCTAAGGCCTTGAAAGCTGACATTTCACCTTTTTTTTTCTCCACCTTTCTCTTTCCTCTAAAAAAAAATTAAATTATTTAGTTGTGTGCTTCTCTCCACAGTTTGTTTTACCCATATGCTTTTCCTCTGTCATTGAAGAAGAGAAAGGAATTAGTGCACTTGACCTTGAAGAAAAAACGGAGGGGAGGGGATAAGAAGGGCAAAAAAACAGTAGGCATGATGCCAAGCCTTACTCTATACCTTCCTTATCATACATTCTGCCACCTCTTCCATCTCCAATCCTTCCCTGCCGACCTTGCCCTTCTACCCCCAAGTTCTCTCCTTCCCTAGTACCTGTCCTGCTTGGAACTCCCCCATGAGGCAACTTCTAAGCTAACCCAGAAAAACTGGGTGGAGGAGGAGGAGGAGGGAATGGTCTCTGCAAGTGTAGCCTCTTCCTGCCATGTTCCCATCATCAGCTTGGGGAGTTTCCAACATAAACACTGCAGGGGCAGAGCTGGGGGTGGTGGCTTCATTTGTATTCAATGTCTTGTTCTAGTGGTTACCTGCAAAGGAGCCAGAGTGCACAAATCAGCAGGCAAAGCTTTCTGCCAGGGGGCAAATCAAGCAGCTTCCTGCCCCTAAAGTTTCAGGAATTTTCAGGTTTGTCCTGGTCCCAGGGTCTCACAGTTGGATTCCCGTGGGGCCTTTCAAAGCCCTAGTGTATCAAGAAGGTTGTTTCATAGTCACTCAAGGCTGGACCAAACTGCAGCAAGGTGACTTTGGGTAGGGTGTCAGTGAGTCTCTCTCAGACACCAACAATTCATTCCTGGTGCCCTTCCCCCACTTCCAAGGCAAGGGCATTTTGTCCCCCAGTTATCATGCAGCTGCCCCCTGGGGATGGGTCTCCTCTATCCATCAACCAAGCAAGTTTCTGCTGTGTCACTGTCCTGGGGGAAAATACCCGAAACTTCCACTTACTTAACCAGTGTAAAGGGAAGAAGAGGAAGCAGCCTGTGAACCTGCTGGGCCTCTCAACTGAGGAAGGAGAGATGATTGGGAAGGAAGAGCCCAAGCTCAGGGCCCCTGGCTTCCTGTGTGACTTGGGAATGGTTATCACCCTCCGACCAGGAAGAGCACTTCTGTCCCAGGAGAAAGAAGGCTTCCCCCCGACCCAGGGCCCGGTAATGTACCTCAGAGCAACTCAAGCAGAACAACAAAAACAAAAAAATACAAGTGAATCTTGCCTCCTAGGGAAGGCCCTAGGTTCCTGCCGGGCCTGTCAGTACTGTGTCACTCAGACACCATCTGGTCTGCCCATGTTGTCACTGGCCTACAAGGCAGGAAAGAGGACAGTGCCATTTGATCCACTCGGGAGCTTCCTGGTGGTGGTATGGGTGGTGATTGGAGGGAAGGGATAAGGATTGTTCTGCGGCTCCTTGGCCACCCTTCCACTCCCTTCCCGGGTGGCATATTTTCGCCGCGCGCAGGAAAAATACCCACAAGGGCTGGGGCCAGGCCTGGGCCTGAGTGACTAGGGAATGGCCAGGGCCGCAATCCCAGGGGTGGGGAGCACAGAGGTTACGGAGGGCAGCAGGTGCAGGGAGCAGACAGAGAGGACTTGGAGGGCAGGGAGAAATGCAAGATGGGAGGGAGGAAGCAGATGGGGGCGGAGCCCCCAGGGCAGAGTCCCCGCAGTGAAGAAGCGTCCTGGGGTGACCTTCTCCTCCAAGGGCCTGGGAGGTGGAGGGTGGAAAAAGAGGAGGAGGGGAGAGCTGGAGAGTGAGGGAGGGAGGGTTTGCATCCCGGAGGCCCACTCCCATCCCCCTCAGCAAGCTGCCAGACCAGAGCCAGGGTGCGTTTGTAAGGTGGCAGCTCTTACTGCGGCAACCGCAGCTTCGGCCAAGGAAGTCCAAAATCCTCCACTCAGGTGTCTCTCTCGCCTCCTCCCCCTCCCCTTCTCAGGCCCTAGCTACGGGAGGATCTAAGCTCCGGGGAGTTGGGCGGGGGGTGGGTGGAATGGGGGAAGAGCTCTCTCTGCTGTCCCTTTTCCCTCCTCCCAGCTCTCTAGCCCCTAAACGTTCCGATTTTCATCCGCTCCATTGTGCCAGCCCCGTGCCCGCCCCTTCGGGCAAGAGGCTCCGCCTACCTTGGACTGACAATTGGCCAGCCCGGCCCAAGGTGGGCGGGGCCTTCAGACACCGTGTCGCGGTATATAGTAAAGGTTGGGGGGTGCCCCCCGAGCCTATCTCTCTCCATGAGGCGGGCGTGAGTCTCCTGGCCAACCTGTCCTTCGGTCGGTGCGACCGTACTTCTTTCTCCCCATCGTCCCCCCGCCCCAACTTCTGCAGGGGTCCGAGGAGGTGGGGGAAAGAGCAGGTTTCCAAAGCAGTGGGGGCACCCGCAAGAGCGGCTGTTTGCTAAGTACCAAACCCCCAGAGGGCGAGAGCGCGTGTATAACCAAAGAGAGACCGAGAGCTATCATCCGCCCACCAATAACTGCCGGGCACCGGAGTCCAGCCCTCCCTCCCTCCTTTCCTCCCTCCCTCTCTCCCTCCCTCCCTCTCTTTCTCTCTCCCTCCTCCCCTCTTTCTGCCTCGGCTTCTGCACTGCCGAGCACCTCCACCTCTCGCTCGCAGTCTGAGCCGCATCGGCAGCGGCGCAGTCTGTCCGTCAGTCCGTCCGTCCAGGGTGCAGAGAGCCTAGCGGAGGAGGACGGAGCCAGAGGACCAGGGCTCGCCACCACCCGGCGGCACCTTCAGCTTCTGAGGTCCGAGAGGCAGCAGGAAAGGACTGCTTGGGGGGACGCCCCAGTCTCCCTGCGGAGGAAGCTTGCTGACTACCCGCCACCATGGCCCGCGGGAAAGCCAAGGAAGAGGGGAGCTGGAAGAAATTCATCTGGAACTCGGAGAAAAAGGAGTTTTTGGGCAGGACCGGTGGCAGTTGGTGTAAGTACCCCCCCCCCCAAGTCCCTTCCTCCACCTCTCGCAGACCTTGTGGCTCTCTGGACCCCGGCTGCCCGCTAGTACTTGCGAACCCCGCACTGCATCTTGTGGGGGGGAGGGAGGAAAGGTGGGTGGAACTGGGTGAGCTTGAGGCGCTGATCCAGCTGCGGCGAGAAACGGCCATTCTGCCTGTCCCTGACTTGTCATCGCTTGTAAAAGGCAAAGGAAGGGGAGAGAGAAGTGGAGGGGGAGAGAAAGAGCACGCGAGCCAAGGAGAGTTGGTGGCCATCATCATAACCGGCAAACTACGGTAGCGAGGAGCCCTTGCATGCTTTCCTGGTGTATATAATCCAGCACCCAGGGCACTGAATGTTTCCTCCAGCTTCCCTCCCCCCACCCCCACTCCCCAAAAGGCGTTTAGGACTGAGATTAGGTAGAGCCAATTAGATAATTAGAGCCAATGCAGTGTCTGTATTGTAACATCTTTCTTCCTTCAGTCTTGAAATGTGCTTCTAGAAAGAGGGAAGGAGGAGTAGAAGAGTCAGTATGGAGAGCCCATACTGCAGTATTTCATCATAATGGTTTTACAGGCTTCCCCCAATGACTTGCCCTAGTCTTTTACAGCCCAGAGGTTTCTCAATGGCAGGATACTGATTTGACCCTTGACTCTGAAATGGGATTATGGAGAAAATCTGGTTTTTTCTAAAGATTAAATAGATGCGAACAGAATTAGCATCTTGGGGAAATTTTGGAGAAAAGCTTGTTTAGGGAATAACCATAAGGACAGTAGAGGATCATATTTTTATTATATATATGTATGTCAGTACCTCCTTAAATCTAATACAGCTAAATGTATGGCTAGCCTGTTGCTTAAGTCTACTAGGCAGTTTTCTATGAAAATAAGACACCTTGCTTCTTTCTCCTTCCATTATGGAAAGGGTGACATGTTTTTTTGAAAAAGGTCATTTTGAAGGGCATGTTGTAGTCAAATCTATGAGTCGTGACTGCGGCCCAGATAGGAGGGAGAGAGAGAGGGAGGGAACTCCCCCCTCCTGCATCACTGCCCCCTCCTTCTCCAACATCATCAGCATCACCGCCACCACCAAACCCTTGATAGGAGCTGATGCAGTGTCTTTAGATGGGAGGATCTGTGGGATGAAGCAGCAGAATGAGTCAGGAAAACAAGGTGCTTGGCTGACATTTTGAAATAGAAGAAAAGAGAAGAGACTATTTAAAAAATGAATGCAGCCAGTAGTAGGGTCTCCCTTGAGTTTAGTTTGAAAGGAAAGGGTTAATAATGCATCACACTCCAAGGTTAGTCAAGGTGAAACCTGGTTCCAAGGTGTCACAGGGAAACATGGGTAACCTTGTTTAAAGGAAAATGTAGGACTCTGGGGCATTGGCTTTTTCTTTTCTTCTTTTGGTGTGAACAAAAAGGTAGATTACCTGAATGAGAATAATGCCCTGCTTCTTTACTCATTTTGTAAGGAAAAACCCAAATAATTGGCAGAGAAAACTGAGGGTAAGGTTGAAAAGAAGCAAGAAAGCCTATGGTGAACAGCTCCCTGAAAGAGCCATTGCCTAGCAACTAGATGTAACTTGAGTGAGTCCGCTAAGGTACACAACAGATTAACCGGCCCTTCTCCCCGCTGCTTGCTGGTGACTCCCTTCCCTGGTTTTCATGCCTTCCTAGTAAGACAGTACAGGCACATATACCTGCCCATTGAGGAATATCAAAATGGGCATGGAATGCTGCAGATCCTCTAGGCACATCTGTGAATTTTCAAGACGTAACTTTCTGGTGGTCCTCACTCTCCCACTGATATATTATTTTTCCTCATTCCATTTCTATGATTCTGCTTAGAATAATTTGATTTAGAAGGTAATATGGTTTGGAATGGCTAATTCTTTAAACCAACCTAGTGAGAAAACACCATCTGTATATGTCTATGTAAATTTATGCTTTTAATATATCATTTTAGAAGATAAACTTTGACATAGATAGATATAAACATACCTATCTATCAATGGCATTAATTGGTGGTATATTCTTGAGTATCAATGCCATGTTTTAGATGGGGGGGGCTGGAAAAAATATATATGTATATTTGCAATTTTTTCTATTCCTTTTGGAATAGGGGAAAGGAGAAGAAAAGACAGTTTAACCCTCTCCCTGTTGATAGCTGAGAAAAAGATAGGCATTTGCTTTAAACAGATGAAACTATCTTTTCAAGCTGTTAGTTAAATAAACACGGATGCCCTTGGGAAGAGGACAAGATGCCCTTGGCTCATTTTTACCTGTAGCTAGATTTTCACCAAAATGGATAGAGGAGGTTTTCATGTGCTTCAATCACAGAAACCGAGAGGAAAGGACCTCTTAAACCATCATATACTTTTCTTATTTCTGTTCATATAACAATAGATACAGGGTGGATAGTTTTTTTTTTCTTTTTAAGCTGAGGCCAGATGCTAGTTTATCATCACCAATGGCCTAAGGCCTATGAAGGGCACTCTGCCCTCCTCCCCAAAAGCTTCTGTTCGTTATTTTTCCTGCTACAAACCACAGCTGGTCTGATCCCCCCACCACCACCTGTATTGAATCAACCCCCTCCTGACTAATTCACTGAAGACATTCCTTTCAAAGTTCTGGACTATAATCTAGTACCTTTATGACAGGCAGGAGAGTCTGCTGAAGAATATGTCCTTAAAAGACAAAAATTCCTTATTCCTCTGTGGGTATCCAGTCAACTTTATGTGAAAGAGCTGTTTGTTCTTGAGGTAAATTGCTTTACTTATAACGTGACTGAATGGGGTGTTCAGCCTAGAAGGATTATGTATCTTGTTGGCAGTTCATTACCATTAGGTATCTGTATCCCACTAAATGAATAATATTGCGCCCTGGATATTAGGGAAAGGTAAGTGGGACTCACCTAAAAATTTTATGTTGAGGTGAGCTAAAAGGGGTAAGTAAGGAGAGGGGGAAAAAAATCAAAGGCAAAGAGAGACATCTTGTTAGGATTGGCTACGCTGACTCTCCTTGTACCTCCTAGGAGCATTCCCTGGAAAAATTTTCCAAATCTCTCTTGACGTCATCTTACTACCATTTGCCTACTGCTGCTTGGATACAGAATACTGGACTTAACCCTTAGAGTGCTAGAGTGGAATTCATCTTTTTCTTCTTCACTACCCCCTTTTGGATTCAGAAGCAATTTAAAATTACTTTTCTGTGCTGTTTCTTGCCCACAGAAAGCCAGCTTTTAAAAACAAATACAGAAGTGATCATTTACTCTTGCCTTCTAATCATATTTTTGTTTCCTGAGATTCAGCTGAGATTTTTGTCCTTGGAAAGAACTAATGGAACACTCACAACTAATGGAAGTCACGTAGAACTTCTGCTGACACCCTATTGCTGATTCCTTCCTTCATCTTGTGTCTCCCTTGTTTTCTCACTTATTACTACTTCCCTGTTAGCGTGGAGTCTTTTGGCATGGGCTTTCTTTGCCTTACTGCAGACTGCCTGGCGATGCCTAGTACAGCATGTTACTATGCAGTTAATCAGTGGAGATAATCCTTGTAAACCAGTAACTGATAGCCTCATTCCAGTCAATGTACTTCAGTTTTGCCTCTGCAGCTATTTTGACCTCCATACTATTTAACTGCTGAGAAAAACGGAAGGTGAAAAATGCTGAAGCCATTTCTTGCTCTTTTAAGAACAAGATTATTATTATTAACTGGACAGTTAAATAAAATGGAATGGCTGCTTTCACTATGGATGTCCCTCTCTCCTTTATTGTGGCCCTTTGAACACAAGGACATTACACCTATTGGGTAACACAGATCAAGGGCAGGTAATATTTGAAGAAGCTTAAATTGAGCTTTCTTGGGTCTTTCTATATTCTTGCTTTATAACTCCCTGGTAGCCTATGAACTTGTTTTATATATAGGTATAGGGATATGCATGTGCATATATACATATTCATATATGCATATATAACACAAATATATAAAATATGTGGTTATATATTTATATATAAATATACTTGTATGTTTGTATTGTGTGTATATGTATATATACACATACATATATATTTCTACATAATAGGCTTCCTTTGTATTCCTACATATTTTATCTATTTAAAAACATCATTCTGTGTCTTTGGGTCCATGATATAAAAAAAAAAGGCAAAGAACCCCTGTCCTAGAAGGTGAAGCAGTGTTTAATTTTAGGGAAACTGGGATTCTCAAATGTAGCATTTTAGCATGAAGGAATAGTAGATACATATTTAATAAACAAGGAGAGTTAAAACATAGGATTGCAGGTATAGAAGAGGAAGAGATCTTGGAGGTTATTTAGTCCAACCCCTCCTATGAGAAAACTGAAGTGTGTTCTGGGAGATTTGTCATCACACTTAAAGGACATTGCTCTGACATTGGGTTTTTATTGTAGCCACTTTTAAAGAGAGACATTTCTTATTTAAGGCATTAAATGGTTGAATTGCCAAAGAACAAAGATGAGTTGGGTCCTGTCTGAGTGTCTCCTACAAATTCACACATAGACATGGTATTATGATCAACTGCCTGGCTTCCCCAGTCAGAATGGTCCCACCCCCTTAACATGTTGCCCTCCACACTCTCATTAGAATGAGTTGAGAAGGTTTGTTCTTTTCTTTGCTGTCTTGGCACAGGAGCCTCAGGGGGAGAGGGGTGGAAGGGCGATGAGGAAGTCCATTCATCAGCTGGTGATCAGACTTGCATTCTGAGACATGTGACTGCATCAAAGCGTTTGTGTTTCTGTCTGTTCTTTTGCAGTTAAGATCCTCCTCTTCTACCTAATATTCTATGGGTGCCTAGCTGGCATATTCATTGGGACCATCCAAGTGATGCTGCTCACCATCAGTGAATTCCAACCTAAATATCAGGATCGAGTAGCACCACCAGGTAAAACAAACACAACCACGCTCAGTTTTCTAGTATGGCGGAGTTAACTATTTTTTTTTAAGTCCTATAATTTTTAATGACCTCTGGAAAGGGGAAGAGAAAAGCTTCATCAGCTTTGCACTGCAGTGTCTAACTCCCCAAGATAGAGACATCCTATCACTGTAGTACATAGATGGAGGAAATCACCTCCAGCTACTTTCATCATAATTTAATAAATAGTTTTAATATTTCACTTTCAAACCTGGAAATAAATGTTGAAGGCTAAAAGAGCAAGTATATTACTTGAAGATTAGTTACCACAATGGCTGGGAGCTAGGGTTTGTGGCTTCAGATCTCCTTTTTGTTTCTGATTTGCTTTTTGACCTTGAACCTTTGACTTTAACCTCTCTTTCCAGGCTTTGGTCTATTGAGGCTATTTATTTATTGAATGTTGAAATTCTCTATATCTTAGTGTGCTAGAATTTAATTAACTATACTCCTTTGACACTTGAACATCCTGGGTAGAAGGGGTGAGCGTCCTACAAAATGCCAAGCAGTTTCTGGCCTCTGTCCACTCTTACCTGCTATTTCCCCTTCCCTGTTCCCCCCAACTCCCCACCATTTTGATAATGCCATATCCACAGCATATATCCAGAGTAGTTGTTAAATGCCTTTGGCTGTAAGCTTATATGTATAAACCTCACTGCCTGTGCTTTTGGAACGAGGTGATCAATTAGCGTTAGAGCCGCAGATTTTAATTTTACCCAGCTCTTGCTAAAAATCTTCATGGGAGGGACTCTGGAGAAAGGAGAGGAGGAGCAGTCTTGTAATTGTTGCTTTCCCACATTACAAATGACCTTGAAGCTGCCTTACAGTGACACAGTAATGAGTTGTCCCCTCTCTCCTTTTTCTGGAACTTGGTTCAGGCACTTTTAATAACAGTGGTATTTAGGTGACAGTCTTGAGGGTGTCTGCATGGCACTGAGTAGCTTAGATCAAATGCCGTACTGCATGCCGCAGTCCTGTCGCATTGGCTGGTTCTTGGATGTGAAAACAGCTTGGTATAGTGGAAAGAAGTCTGGATTGTTAATCAGGAGACCTGGGTTCAAGTGCCTGCTCACATACTCGAGGTGTGACCTCAGTCCTGGTATTTAATAACTCTATGCCTTAGTTTCCTCATCTGTCAAAAGATCTTTAAGGTCCTATACAGGTCAAAAAAGCTCACAGAAGAAAATCTGCAAAATCAAAGTCCTCTTCCTTGTGAAAGATGGAGAGACAAAATCTTAACATTCCCTTTGAGAAACAGTTTAATATTTTTGCAGGTGGCAAACACTATTGGACTGCTCAGAGCAGACTTTTGAGATGATTTAATTCCAGTGATTTTTAAGATTAATAAGATAAAAAAAAAAACCAAGCCATTTGCCAGTGGGGCTAACTTTGAATCAAGAGATTGAGATGGGGAAGAAAACACTATGGATGAGACATGTTGACTTATGCAATTGTGACAGCCTTCTGATACATACAAAGAGAAGTATATATAAAATATAAGACAAACATTTTGATATTCTGCAGTGTATCATACAACAGAGACTTATACCACATGAACTCCATGACAAAAAAATACACCATATATTTTGTGGCATTTACTGTTAGTAATTTCAGGTTGTGATAATGATGATGATGATGATGATTTGTGGTGTTAATAACATTTCATTTATGTGACCCTTTTATTTCCCTCCCCACCATCATTCAGTAAACCATTATTCAGTAATGAAACCATTTAACAATTCCTATACGTGAAGTTAAACTTGGTCAAGAATTTTAGCTCAGTAGTACTATTTAATTCTTTGCTGTAGAATGAGCCGAAATTCACCACAAAACTGAACTTTTTTTTTCTTTACTATCTTGATTTTTTTACAATGACTCTTGGATACATAAGCTCTTTTGAATTTCTTCCAAAGTATATAAATTTACCTTGATATTCCTTTTGGCAGAAATTTGGCAGAAAAAAAGTCACAATTTTGGTAACTGTAACAAGATTCATTGTGTCTGTGGACCAGTGATCTTGGCCATAACTTACACACCAAGCTCTCTGTCTCTTCCAAATTACTCCTCCGGCCCCTTTCCAAAAGACAGGGTCTTAGCACCTAAATTTAGTGTCCCTGAGGCAGAGTGACTGACCTGACAAAGCCTCACTTCTCTAAAGGAATGATAATGGCTCATCATGGAAATATGCATTCCTGTCCTTTGGGCTGAGTCAGAGGAAAAGGGCTTCCCAGAAACCCTCCCCTTTCTCTAGTCTGTCCACCAGCTTCTTAATTTCTTTTAGCACCTCCTTTCCTTCCCCTTCACTCTTGGCCCACCTACCTTTTTAAAGTATACCTATGCAGTTCTTTACACTATTACAATATAATATAATGTCATGCTTCTAAAAACCACAATAAACATTTTAAAATGATGATGGATTTCTGTTAAGGGAGATCACACTGGACAAAAGTTCTTACTGTCAAGAAATGGTACTGCTGGATCAACCAGAAGAGGTCATCATTCAGTGATGTGACACCTTCCCACACTAGACACTGCCTTCTGCAGCTTTCAGGTCGACCAAAAAAAAAAATATTAGAGGTAAAAGAGACCTTAGAGATGAGTGAAGCCCCTACTTTTACAGTTGAGAAAACTGAGGCCTGAAGCAGAGTGAAGTAATTTTCAGTTATTTCAGGGTCAATTACCCAGGGTCACGAATAGTAGAGATGAGGCTTGAATCCAGATTTTCTGACTCCCAAGTCCATTGAAATTCCACTATGCCATTCAGGCTCCCTCAAAGAACTTTGGCTTCCCAATGGCATTAGCTGTTCCATAAACGTGGTATAAATTGGAATGAGCGAGAGAAAGGTAATCATTCTATTTGCAGTTACAGTATTATTAGAGGAGAATCACTATGATGCATTGGAAAGAACCCTGGATGCTAAAAGCTACAAAGAATTAATTATCCAGGTTTTAGTTCTAAGGCTAACACTTGCTAGCTGTATGTCTTACCCTTGAGCCTTGGATAAAACACCTTCTACATCTTACCTCACAAAGCCCTTGTGATGATCGATTGCAATGACTTGTGAGAAAAAGCAGTTTTAAAATTATAAAGTATTATGTAAATTTTAGGTATTTGAAATAAAAATGATTTGGAGGGGATTAATAACGGTATTAGCCTTAGCCTTGTTTGATATATTTATTACTGCATTTTGTACTTTGGAACATTTTATAATTTGATTTATTTAGGTGAAATCCTAATTAAATAACAGCAGTTGTCTGGTGCAGTTCTGGCTTATATGGGTCAGTGAATCTATAGCTGCTTGCCCAGCTGAAATGCTATTGCTACACACCTCAGGGGATGGATTGGGTGATAAAATAAAACTGAAAAGGGGACGAAAATGACTTAAATAATCCTAAGTCTTTATGAGGAAAATTGCAACTCAGGACTATGAAATAATAAATTCAACGAACTAAACACTTATTAAGTGCCTACTATTTGTAAGATTCTGTATCAGGTGCTGGAAATACAAAAATGGGGGAAAAAGTACTGTTTTTGCCCTGAAGGAGCTTGTGCTATATAGGCAGGGGATGTGAAAGGGAGGTGATATGGTATGCCCCAATAAATATAATAAATCAAGCTGTAGTTGATGGGGCAAAAAAAGAGGGTTCATACAAAATAATCAAAATCTGGAGAGGAGGCATCACTTTCAGTAATGGGTGGGTAGGAAAGAGCATCAAGGGAAAGGTCTTGAGGGAGGTGGTAACATAGTTGAAGAAAGAGAAGGATTTTAAAATGTGGAATGCTACACATGCAATCTTTCCTTCCCAGTTTAATTACTGTGGAGCTTTCAGCAGAGCTGACTTCCTTAGGTTTTAATGAGAGATAAAGGACCAGACTGAAATGCTGAGGGTACTCCTAGATCCCTAATAGGACATTCTCCAAAGCAAGCTGCATCCAGCCTTACCTACTGACACAGGTTAGGCCATTCTACCCTTTTCTTTCTCTCCTCCAGCAGCATTTCATCTTTGGTTATTGTCTATATTCCTGTAAGTACTCTGTTCTTTATAAAAGATTACTGGGGATGTTGTCATTCAGCTAGATTTTTTTTGGAAAAAAACGAATCTGATTTTCCTGACACTCTTTATGTTTTAAAAATTATCTCTTACAGATTTCCTGGGCATTTGTAACTTGAATATTGTGTATCAGGTTACTGGGTGCTTTTGATTTCACTTTTGAAATCACTAAATGTAATTATAAAGGAAGTTATCTTGCATTGACTCATCTTACTAGAAAATTGAATTTGAAAGAGACAGTGATATTAGATGGGCTAGAGTTATTAGAGTGGGGAGTAAAAGCAGTCTCTCTGTCTTTAAATGGTTCTCTGCTCACTCATGTGCCAGTGAAACAGTATAATGGAAAAGCCTGGCTTCCTCAGAGATACTGATTGGCTCACTAAGCTCATGTAACCACAGTGGACTGAAAAGACAGGTCACTGTATGTCATGGTAGATGCAGGGGAGATTCCGAGCTTATATGCTTCCTGGTAAGCAGGTAACAAGCAAGAACACATTCTCCTTTTCCTTCCTAGCACGTGTGTGTGTGTGTGTGTGTATTGAATACAGAGTGCCTAATACAGCACACTTTAAAAGGGTCAAAATTCTACCATACTCTGTGCTTGTAACCAGAGTTAGGGAGGAGAAACTCAGGATGCCTGGAGATTAGTAGACTGTAATGGTACCAGCATTCTAAATTTATTTAAATTCTTCCCTTTTGATTGTGAAATATTTCTTCTTTTAAAATGTATTAATTTGACAAAGTTTTTACAATTGAAACCTCTCTACACAGGGCTTAGTGAATACTCATGCTATATTGTGGTTTAAATCTCAATATGTTGCTAAACTTCAGCCCACAAAATACCCAGGACAGCAGTTTAAGAGGCCTTCCCATTAACATTTTGGATTGCCAAACCACTGATGAGCAAGAAGACCTTCATT